TTCTGAATTTGTTGATGGCATGAGTATGTCACTGTAATATAAATAAAAAATTAAGTCATTAACAAAAAGATTATGTATAAGTGTTGTATATAAGTTCATAAAATGATAGATAGATAGATAGATAGATAGATAGATAGATAGATAGATAGATAGATAGATAGATAGATAGATAGATAGATAGATAGATAGATAAGATAGACACATGAAAGTATTCTGAATTTGTTTATGGTGTGAATATGTCATTGGCCTTTGAGGGGATTGAGATATTTGAGAAATTTATTCCAGATTTCATTAAAGGCTGATATGTTTTGTTGTTGAGCAGTTATTGACTGTATGTAYTGACCACTGGAAGAGTTTTAATGAAACTTGCAGGGAGTAACCACTGGATGCACGTCTACAGCTAACCTTTGAAGTCAATCAAGTACAGGTTGGATAGCTAATTGACTTTARCAAACACAAAAATAGCTTTAACTCAGTCAGTTTTACAGATATTGAGTTAAAATTTAGTGTTGTAGTAGGTGAGTCATTCACAACCATCTCTGACTGTGGCACCTCGCAATGTGACACAGTTTTCATTGAGGTGTAAAATAATGTTAAAACTAACACATTTTTGTTTAGTTGAATTCAGTTTATTTATATAACGCCAAGTTACAACTGTTGTCTCAGGGCACTGTACACAAATCTAAAAAAACCAGCAGACTGCGCAGAATCTTTGCTTCGTCACAGTCTCCAATCCTGAGCAGCACATCGGCAGCAGTGGAGAGGAAAAACTCCCTGCTAATCAGGAAGAAACCTCCAGCAGAACCAGGCTCAGGACAGGCGGCCATCTGCCTCGACCGGCTGCTTAGGGGACAGGAAAGAGACACAGACAAACACAGGACCGGTCCAGTTTTAATTTTCTGTGGAAGAGAGACAAAGAAATTATGTTATTGATAGAAATAATTACAATAAACATGTAGAGAAGAGAGACTAAAGACAACAGCAGAGTGAGGAAATGTGCTCAGTTTGTGCTCCAGCACTATAGCAGCAGAACTAATTAACTATAATAACTAAGGAATGATTCAGGAAACCTAAGTCTAACTATATGATTTATGAAAAAGGAAAGTCTTCAGTCTAATCTTAAAAGTAGACAGAGTGTCAGCTTCATGGACAGAAACTGGAAGTTGGTTCCACAAGAGAGGAGCTTGAGAACTGAAAGCTCTGCCTCCCATTCTGCTTTTAGAAACTCCAGGAACCACAAGTAAACCTGCAGTCTGAGAGCGAAGTGCTCTGTTAGGAAACTATGGAACAATAAGATGTTTAATATATGATGGAGCTTGGTTGTTAAGAGCTTTGTATGTTAGGAGTAATACTCAACTCAACTTTATTTATAAAGCCCTTTAAGACAACCACAGCTGCAACAAAGTGCTGTACATACAGTATATCAAACCAAAACATGAAAACACAAGACAATGATTAAAAACACTAACACCAGTAATAAAACAATAAAATAAAATAAAAATAGAATAAAAAAGTCTCAGGCTGTGCCAAAAGCCAGAGAATAAAAGTGTGTTTTTAGACAAGCTTTAAAAGTGGACAGTGAACAGGCTTGTCTCACAGACAGTGGAAGACTGTTCCACAATCTTGGAGCAGCAGCACAAAAAGCTCTGTCTCCTCTCAGCTCACGTTTGGACCTCAGCACCTCCAGGAGCAGCTGATCAGCTGACCTGAGGCACCGAGCAGGAGATTGTGGGTGAACCAGCTCAGATAAATAGGGTGGGGCAAGACCATTCAGACTCTTAAAAACAAATAAAAGAACCTTAAAATGAACAGGTAGCCAGTGGAGGGAGGCCGGAGTGGAGGGTGATGTGCTCCCTCTTACAAACTCCAGTTAGCAGGCGAGCTGCAGCGTTTTGAACCAACTGGAGGCGTCTGAGGGAGGTCTGGCTGACTCCAAGGTAAAGCACATTACAGTAACCAAGCTGTGATGTAACAAAAACATGAATTACTGTTTCAAGATGCTGTTTCGAAAGAAACGGCTTTACCTTTGCCAGCTGCCTGAGATGATAAAAACTGGCCTTAACTACTGCTCCAATCTAATTTAAAAATCACTGTTCATTYAAAAACCCAAGTTACAAATTGTCTGCTTTACATGCAGTGCCAGGGGAGGTACACAGGAGCCA